TGGATAGTTCTATCAGTTCTAAACTGTCCTTCCTAGAGGTTCAGTAAGGATCATATTGATCATCATCCCGTGTTACTACACCTAAACCAAAACAACTTTATTTATACTGGATAGTTCAATCTGTTCTAAAATGTTGTTCCTATAGAGGTCCAGTAAGGATCATCTCTTATTGATCATGTGTTACTACAAAGAAAACCTAAACTAAAACCAATTTTATTTATACTGGATAGCTCTATCAGTTCTAAACTGTTCTTCCTGGAGGTCCAGTAAGAGTCATCTCTTATTAATCCAGTGTTACTACAGGAGGAAACCTAAACTAAACTAACTTTATTTATACTGGATAGTTCTATCAGTTCTAAACTGTTCTCCCTAGAGGTCCAGTAAGGATCATCTCTTATTGATCCAGTGTTACTACAGGAGGAAACCTAAACTAAACTAACTTTATTTATACTGGATAGCTCTATCAGTTCTAAACTGTTCGCCCTACAGGTCCAGTAAGGATCATCTCTTATTGATCCAGTGTTACTACAGGAGGAAACCTAAACTAAACTAACTTTATTTATACTGGATAGCTCTATCAGTTCTAAACTGTTCTCCCTGGAAGTCCAGTAAGGATCATCTCTTATTGATCCAGTGTTACTACATGACGAAAACAGGAGAGCGGTGTTTGGTAGAGTCAAACGGGAAGCACTCTTCTCACATGTGACTGAGGTGAAATTATAATCAGACACTGGTGTATTCAGGAATGAAACCTCAGTCAGAGAGATGAAAGATACATGCACTAACATTGTGCCTCATGTAATAAAGCATGCAGGGTTCACCAATATTTATCATAATAACAAACCTGTAAGTACTATCATCTGAGCGAGTGTAGAAATCTTTAGGTTTTCTAAATAAAACACAATATCCCCAACATCATTAAATATTCTACATCAGGTAGATTTTCAAATTTAAAAAACCACAATATACTTACGGCTTTTCTGTCTCGAGAAATTCATCGAGTGAGTAACTAAAAACGTTAGAACTTACATGAATAAACTTATCTCTTATTCATATTTTGGGAAGGCATATGTAACTGGGTTTCACTAAGTACTATCATGCAGCAGATGCTGGTCAACCTGCAGTTATCAGAGTGAGAAAATAATGTTCATTCTATTCCTTATATGTAGTTGTCTTGTATTTGGAGGTAAATAGAATTGAAAGATGTAGTTCAATTTTCTGTGAACATTTGTTGACCACCATCTGCTGTCCTTGATATAAAGCACACTGAAAGCAATCAAAAACAGTGAAAGGCTTTGGGAGTTAAATAACCTTTTATCAAAGATAGATAATACGGTATTTTACCTTGGTGGCGAGTCATGAATACTTCCAGAACCAGAACCACTGTAAAGAAATATTTCTTAATGTTCATTTTATATTTGACAAATGACAATCATCACCATCATTACACCATCATCACCACTATCATCATCATCATCATCATCACCATCATCACCACTATCATCATCATCACCACTATCATCATCACCATCATCATCACCACTATGATCACTATGATCACCATCATCACCACCACCACTATCATCACCTTCATCATCATTATCACCAGCATCATCACCACCATCACACCACTACCACCATCATGCCATTACCATGCATCATCATCAACCTTCGCCCATCACCACCCTCCTCCCATCACCACCTTCCCCATTATCAACACCCTCCCCCTATCACCACCCTCCCCCCATTCCTCCCATCATCACCCCACTTCCCACCATCTCTCCTTCCTCAAACCAACACCCTCTCCCCTTATACCATCATCACTCACCTATCAAAATAACCATCAGTATTATCACCATATCTATCCAGAACTGACTTCTGTCTTGAACTCGATGTTGGGTTAACCTGCTCAACTGTCGACAACCCTGCTGATGCGGAATGTGACAAATGACTAGGCTCCTTACCATAACCGAAGCCCATACCCAACCGTTCTAATTGTGCAGCTTTCTTTGGATCACTATGCCGCAATTTCTCCTCTTCTTTCTTAAAGTTCTTAGGTTTGTAGGCAAGGTTACCAGATATTGCTCCTGTTTCTTCAAATGCTTTCACTTCCTCAGTTTTGGCGAGTTTCTCAGCCTTGTTCACTTGGGATTCCAGCGCACTGAAGTCTGTTGTAACCTTGGATTATTAGGAGAAATCTTGTAGAATACTAGAATTAAACTAGCAAATCCAGTTTTACTTTAGAAACTCTAGTGAGAACAGTTTAGAACTCATACAGCTATCCAGTATTTATAAAGTTAGTTTAGTTTAGGTTTCCTCCTGTAATAACACTGGATCAATAAGAGATGATCCTCATTGGATCTCTAAAGAGAAGAGTTCAGAACTGATAGAGCTATCAAGTATAAGTGAAGTTAGTTTATTTTAGGTTTCCTCCTGTAGTAACACTGGATCAATAAAAGATGATCCTCGTTGGGTCTCTAAAGAGAAGAGTTCAGAACTGATAGAGCTATCAAGTATAAGTGTCAAAGTTAGTTTAGTTCAGGTTTCCTCCTGTAGTAACACTGAGTCAATAAGAGATCCTTATTTGTCTTCTGGGAAGAACAGACTTTAGAACTGCTTGGTCTATCTAGTAGAAATAGAGTCAGTTTAGTTTATACCTTAGTGGCACCTAATTTTCCTTTCTTGGCAGCAGACTAAAACAAAAGAAAATGTGCGTGAGAACATAACGGAACTTACAGAATGTAAATTTATAAAGCGATGAATTAAAGGGAAATGGCAATATAAATTTTTATATTCTCATTTGAAAGAACTTTTGAAACTATATATTAACTTCTTTTGCCAATTTTTAATATCTTTTTTAGTTCTTGAAATATTTTCACTTGAAGTAATGAGATGTCCGCCATGTTGGTAATTTTTTTATCTCATTAACGGTAGTTTTGTTGACGTCACAACAGGGATTGACCATATAAAAGTACTCGTTGCTGACCAAATACTGATTGGTAGATGTTTTAAAGGTTTTAAGTGATCTTGATATTTCGAAGGGCAGACAGAGTATAGTTTTGAGTGCAAAATGATTAGTGGTTGTCTAGATAAAAATATTGCGTGACTCCTGTTGTGACGTGTGACATGGCAGACATTTCATTCCTTTCGATCAAAATATTTGTAGAAATAAGCGGTAAAAAGTATTATATATAGTCTTCAAATGAGAAAATAAAAAAATATATTGCCATTTTCCTTTAAGTCTCATTTCACAAAGAAAATATGTAGTGTGAGGAGATTAAAATAATCTGGCACCACATAGGCATAGCTTATTGTCAACCGGGACCCTCAGCGCTCTTACCTTCTTGCCCGTCTTTCTTCCTCCAATGGTTGATATACGTGGCTCTAATTTAAAACAAGCACGAAGAATAGAATTACTCAACTTTTTCAACATCAATAATTTTTCATTCTGTTGCAATGAAATGGGTCCCCCATTGATTTTAAGATGAGTCTATATAACATGCATGTACCTGGATGTTTTGGTGGTGAAATACTTAACCGACTGACATCTTTCTCTGCTTGACTGAGTTTGTCTAGAGCGTAGAAAAATAGTTTTGTCACTGCAACTGATTAAATAAATACAACTAAACAAACTTTGTTTATAACAGGCAACTTTATAAGTTCTAAACCGTGTTGGTGTAATGTACTCAGGTGAATATGATGCTTGTGATGTTACTCTGAGTGTATATCCACACTGGGCAAGCTTGAAAAATATGCCTGGCCACAGTGGCCAGGCATATTTTTCAAGCATGCCCAGTGTGGATATACACTCAGAGTAACATCACAAGCATAAAGTTCTAAACTGTTCTTCCTAGAGGTCCAGTAAATATCATCTCTTATTGATCCAGTGTTACTACAGGAGAAAACCTAAACTAAACTAACTTTATTTATACTGGATAACTCTATCAGTTCTAAACTGTTCTTCCTAGAGTTTCAGTAAGGATAATCTCTTATTGATCCAGTGTTACTGCAGGAGGAAACCTAAACTAAACTAACTTTATTTATACTGGATAACTCTATCAGTTTAAACTGTTCTTCCTAGAGTTTCAGTAAGGATCATCTCTTATTGATCCAGTGTTACTACAGGAGGAAAACTAAACCAAACTAACTTTATTTAAACTGGATAGCTCTATCAGTTCTAAACTGTTCTTCCTAGAGTTCCAGTAAAGATCCTATATTGATTCAGTGTTACTACAGGAGAAAACTGAGACACCCAGAGTAAATCTGCAGTGTTAAACACAGCACAATTCTTTATGCTAGTTGAAACTATAATATTAAAGACAACTACAAATTGCAGAAACTAAACTCTGGTCGTAGAGGTAAAGAACACATGCCATCAGCCCAACAGAAAATTGAAACCAAACCTGTAACGTCATATTCCACAGTGGGAGATGGTGTTGCACCATTGGTTGTTTTTGTTGTTCCATTTGTCGTGATTGGTTCATTGGCCGTGATTGATGTAACTGATGTAGTAATCTCATGAAAGAAATCAACATCTTTCTTCTCTGGCGTGTGTGCATGATCATGGGCAGGGTTACCTGTGTCTATAAGAACCTAGGAAAATGAGAAAGCACTTTTTAGGAAAGGAGCATTTGGGAAAATATTGTACCATTGCATGTACATAAGGCTCAAAAATAGCAGGCCTGCAAATAGTTATTTTGCTCGGAAGGACGGGCCAAGACAAAATTTTCAGTTTTTAAAAACAAATAAAACCTTCAACGGATAAAAATTTTACAACATATGCAGACCAAATAGCTAAAATTGTTTAAGTACATGGTTCTGAATATTTGAAAAACATAGAAAAATATTAAAATTAAATGTCATTGAAAATTGAAAATTCACGTCGCGTTGCCGAATCGCGTCCGGTCTGTATGGGCCTTTACCCATAACCTAAATTGGCAGTACCCTAGTATATATATATATATATTATACATGAACTTGTGGTTAGAGCTCAACAACTCGACTCTTTAGCTCGGTTGGTTAGAGCGCTGCACAAGAATCACAGTGCTGCAGGTTTGATTCCTGCCAGGGACTGTTTGCAGCTGTTCCTAATCACGTTTAATTAATAAATGTATATAAAGTTCCACTCAATAATTTCCATCTGCCAGACCCTTCAACTATTATTCAATCGAGTGTGATGCCAACATGATCTCAATAGTTTACGTACCTGAGTTCCATATTGTTTGTGAGCTTTCTGTGCCAGTGAAGCAAGTTTTTCTCTGTACATGTTGGCAACACGACTATGGAAACAGGACAAAAGCAATGGTATAACAATAGTATACATTCGCTCAAAAGCATAATGTATATTATAGAAGTATTAATTATCTTGGAATGAAAATCCAGCTTATTACCATACCTGTTATATTTTGCCATAGCATCAGTGGTGTTCAAATTATGTTGTCTGAAGAAAGCAGTCTGAAAAGATAAAAATTATGTTTATGATTGATTTTGTTCAGTTTCCAATCAAGTAAACCTTATTCCCTCCGTTGAATACAGCAAAATTTGGAAAATTTTGTTTTATACCAAATCCCAACTTTAGATATCTCACATGCCTAATTATTATTGTTCTAGTATACAAAAGCATATAATAGAACAAAGGTAACTAAGCTTTAGAATTATCTACCTGAGTGAATAATTCTCATACATAATTCTAATGCTTAGTTACTTTCACCATCCTGTTTTAGGCCAGTGAACAGCGAATTTCGCTTGCACTAAGAAGACATTTGACAGCCATTTGCCAGAGGTTGTGTGTAATTTGCCAGTACTTGCAGTCATATATGACAAGCTGCAAATATTTAGTTCAGTCTTGCACTTGGACAATATAGCAAATAAACAAAGCTTGCAAGCCTTTGCCCACCACTCAACTCACAGCGCCCTTGAAGCTTTGACCTTCCATTCTTTGCATACTCGCTTCGCTCATCAATTAATAGCCGGAGCCTCAGTGGAGCAAAACAGTATTGGCCATACCCAAATTATTATTAGCCAGGACACCAAACGAATACCTGTAGGGCTGTCAATACCTTTGTTCTATTCTACGCTTCTGTAAACTAGAACAACAGTAACTAGGCATGTGAGTTATCTCAAGTTGGGAATTGGGCATCAACAATGTAAACAATATTAGCAAAATTTGTATATTGTAGTTTAGAGACTCACAGCTTTAGCATTGCCGCCACATTGCATGTGTCGTAGTTGTATCCATGTCCAGCTGGTATCCAACTGAGTTGACCTGTAGAAATAAAGTCTTATATAAGGTCTGAAATTTAAGTCCCTGACAGCAGATATATACCAGGATTCAAAGTTTTCATGTACATTGAATTAGCCCATTAGTGTGCAAGGCTCTTTAAGAGTAAAATCTTCTGGTTTTAGAATTTAGACAGTCTAGTGAAATTATAATAAAGTCGGCAGATTTGGGCATGTTAACTGTCAAAACACTAGAAATCACATATTGTACCGGGCAATGACCATGACCGGATGCTTATTTCCAGGCTTGGATAGAGATATAACTACTAGATGTATGCATCGGATTGAACGTTTATAATCCGACAATTGGCTAATGTTTAAAATCCAATCCGATCCGAAATTGTCTAATCCGAATCCAATCCGATCCGACTTTTGATAAAGAATTCCGATTCGATGAATCCTTTAATAAAATAAATTTCTCATTCAAGTGGGAATATTTAAAATAAATATAAAAGTAAGAAAAGCATGTCAAGAAGCTGACAAAGCGACGTCCAATTGAAGTATCAAGCAAATAATGCAGCGACAACCACGTTGTCATGAATGATTAATTAATTTTATTTTGAATATCGAAGTACGAAACAACTTTACCAATCCGAAATGAATATTTGTGTTCCGAAATCCGAATGAATCCGATCGGATTTGCACACCTCTAATAACTACATGAAAAATACAAGGAGAACTTCAACATTTTGAGCAAAGGACTTTGTCAGGAAGTTAACAAAACGTTGAAGTTTTCCTTGAATTGTTCAGGTAATTGCATCCCTAAGTTTTCTATGATTGGCACAGACTGTTCAAAGTCATTCACAGTTTGGAATGTATAAAACCAAATTGTAGTATCCCATGGATAATAAGATATGATCAAATTTCAGACCCTGTAAAATCGAATGGTTTGTGTCTGAACTGTCTAAAAAAGACAGATACTACAACTTTTCAAGAGGAAGTCTTTCATCATGATGGTTTAAATTTTTTTCTGTTAGTTCAGACACAAACCACAGCATCTTATGTTAGCCATAAGTGTTTGTTCAGTTGATCAAATAAACTGCAGGTTATAGAATAATTTCAAGACTTATATTAAAAACAGCACATATGAGGAGTGTGTTTAATAGAGACATTTACGATTTTAGAAATCAGAGCTAAAATATTTTTTTTTATATATTTAATCAATATTAGTATAATTACATAGGTGATTATTGAAAATTCTCCACGCTGATTGGTTGCCGTTGAGGTGATTATTACGCGATAATCACCTAAGCAATTTTCAAAATGGTGGTCGAAGCCGTTTTGTCAATTAAATGACGAAGAAATGTGTATTTTTTTATTTTTTTTCCAAATAATCACCTATGAAATTATACTAAAACAATTATTCACCTCAGGCTCGGTGATTATCGTGAATAAAAACCTCGACTTCGTCTCGGTTTTTATTCACCGATAATCACCTCGCCTTCGGTGAATAATTGTTAAATAATAAGGAAACCTGGAATTAGGCTCTTGCAGTATTGAAAAAAAAAACTGAAAAGCAATATCGGAAAAACTATATGGATATAGCAATATTTTTTCGCAATTGTATATTGCATAATTCAAAGCAATATTCTCTGTTTTCAAATGACTCCAAACATCCACAATATAATAAGAGAAATGTTTTGCTAGTTCATTCACTAAAAGATGTTCAAAGTGACTATATGACCGGCAGCCGGTCACGGTTTATCAAATACTAAATGGCCGGCAGTCTAGTGACTATAGTTGAATATAAAAACTTTTGTTTGCGTTCACTTTTACCGAGCTTGCCGTTAGCTCATACGGCAAGGGTGCTGCGTGCGGAAAGTTAAACGCAGTCGGGGTCGGGATGTGTTTTGTCTGACTTAGCATTGTTTTTTCTTAAAATTTTTTAAACTTTTTTTCCCGACTTTTCTAACTCTCAAAAGGACTTAGGGTTAGGGTTAGAAAAGGGTTTGGGGTTGGGGATAGGTTTATCTTATAAAAATTCAACTTTAACAATAGTCACTAGACTGCCGGCCATTTAGTATTTGATAAACCGTGACCGGCTGCCGGTCATATAGTCACTTCGAAAGATGTTTACTAATAAACAATATATTTTAGTTTTTGTTTTTTAGTACTGATACTATTTGAAATCGGCTACCGTTCTAAAAGATCATATTTTGACAAGCGAAATGAACTTATACAAACATAAACTGATACCAAAATACCAACAAATAATCGAATAATTGTGTATTTATAAAAAACAATAATTTTCAGTATATTGGCATTACCGAAACGGCCTATAGATGGAAAATTTTTAAAATCTCTTGGTTTTTCACAAAATCTCACAACTTTGTGAAACACAGCTCACTATCTCAGCCACTCTAGGGTTGTCAGGTCTGCTAAACATCCAATACAGTTAATCAAATACAAAAGGCCACATCACCCAAGGTCAATTGTCATTAAAAATTCAAATACCAAAACTTTCTGAAAAATGTTAATATTATCAGATTTTAAAAAATCAAAGACCCTTAAACCAGTCAGAACAGAAACACATCAAGTAGCTTTAACCTTTAAAAAACTTCTTAACAATAAACATTAAAATACACTACATATACAACCCACTCAAATACAATATTAAAAATCATGAATTCTACATTAAAGAAAATATTGACTAAAAACCGTAGCAATTTAAGAAACTTTTTCTAATATTCCTATACTAAATACGAACCGAATAAAGGTCAAATGAACGCCAAGGGATCTATGAACCGCCGAACAATCGATGCAAAGGAAAACACCATAGGTCACACTGGCCCATGTCGGATTTTGATGGCCACAATCGAAACACGCCTAAAACATTAAATAAAAGCCGTTTCAACCCAAGAATACATCATTTTGAAAGCCAACAGTTTAAAGTTTTGTTCTGTACTAAAAATAACCTCACCTTGTTAGTCGCACAATGTTTTAAACGTTTGAAAATAAGTTGAATATCTTTTGAAGTCGGATTTTCGGCGGCCATTTTGTCAAGTCTAAGTTTGCTACGTCATCATCAGAATAGAGCCACTGAGCTATATAAATGACTGTATGACTTCAATGGTTATATGCCGAAATCCGATACCCTTGAACCATTACCTTAGCATGAATATTTCTTCTCAAACTTATTCTGTATAGCCAAGTAATGCAATTTTGAGAATGCGAGAAATGGCTTCTCATGGAACCTAGAATTATCTGAATCAGCAAAATTTCCGATCAAAATCACATTGGGATTTTCTCCAACTAGCATCACGCACAGAGGAGATAAGGTGACACGGTCTCCTCCTCCAGTTATCCAAGGCGACTTTTCCAATTATTCCTTTTGTTCCGAAGAGAAATATCTGGTAAAAAAATCATGTCCTTGGTGTACTTTATACTCTTCGAAACTCGGCAAAATTTCACCCGGCCAAAGTTTGAGCGCTGCACCAGAATCGCATGCCCGCATGTTCCGATTCCACCAAATATCTCAATGATGGATTCATTCACGCCGAACTTTTCAGTGTATATATTTGCATGAAGCAATATTTCAATATTTTTTTGATCGCGGCAAATTTCTGCCTTTGTTTAAAGTATGTCGCCAAATATGTCTCTCACAGGGCCGTAGCGAAGGGGGGTATTGGGGGGGGGGGGTTGGAATTAACATATTCGGAAAATCAGGTTGGTCATTCGGAAAATTACGGCAGTAATAGTGTAACAAAATTTTAGTTGTTTAATTAAACAGAGAAAATATTATAAAATTGTATTGTCAGTATCATAAACTGATTGACAAAATCACGGCATTTACATGGATAACATTTAACAAATCGTAGATCGGTAAATGTTTTTCGGTTTATTACTTTCCAGAGCCGTAGCAACGGGGGGGAGAGAGGGCAGCCCTCGATATATCTTTAAAATACTGACAATTGATTAATTTTAAGCGGCTACATTACCCATGACAAACCGCAAAGAATCATATTACCCAAATACGCCTTCGCCCAATTTCTGTAAATTTCGACGTGCTGTTTTCTGACCATCAGAAGTCGTTCAAAACTTCCCCCCAAAGTCCACGAAATGGCATTTCAGAGACTCTAAATTTAAAAATTTCTTCGGGCCTTCGGCCCTCGCCACCCCCTTACCAAAAAGAACTTCCTACGGAACTGCACACTCCTGTAATATGTCTGTGCGTAAAATATGAGTATTTTTGTTTGTAAATTGCGTTTCATTTTTCGGATAGCAAACACCTTCGTGGCTTCGTATGCCATGAAATATTCGGAAATTTCTTTCGTCATTTGGAATTTTTTGGCCTACACCCCCCCCCCCCCCCCCCCCCCCCCC